GAAGATTATTATCAAAGATAACATATTCTGCGTGTGCAAACTCACTTAATATCCCAAAACAATTTTGTGAAACATTCTTATGGAACATCAGCACTTTCATTGATTAACGTACAAAATAGGGGTGGGCTTATTGCTCCTAGAAATGATGTTATACAAACTATAATAGTATGCAAGAGTGTTTTCAAAATTTATATCAGCGGTGACGATTTCAAAAAACCAAAAATGAATGTGGAGTGAAACCTTAAGTTAAAAATGATTTATGCAGTTAATAAAATTATTAGTGAAAAACATTTTTTCAAAGACCTTAATGATCACGATGCTGAGCATGAAGCTGTCACCGAAGACATGCATTCCACACAACTAATAAAAATGTTAGCAAATAACTTTACAATCAGACTGCAAAGATAGCCAATTATATACAGAAAAAGTTTTAAGAAAATCAATGATTGATCTACGTCAACTATCAAATAAATTAATTATATTCAAAGATTTATAACAAATATTTAATATATATAAGGATAATAAATTTTTTAAAAATATAAAAATTCAGTATGTATATATATATATATGAAAATAATATAAATAAAAATATTAAATTAATTTTTATTAACTGTTACTTTTCTTGATTTGTTGTTTATATTGAAAAACTCGCTTTTCAAAGGAAAGATATTCTTTACATACCTGAATACCTATGGAGCTTTTTTGTATTGAAAACCTTTCTAGATATAACATAACATTGAATTAAATTTATTTAATTGACGGTAAATCAATTATAGAAAAAAGTAATAATGATTTTTATGATAACAAGAAGTGTTTAACCATAAATAAAATTCTAAGATTTCCAGAAGGAACCTCTAAGTTGTGTCATACAGAGCTTAGTTAATAGTCAAGACAGTTTTATAAAATGTTTTATTACAAGTTTTAACTCTGTTTACCTTGCAGTTATGTTATAATACCTCCTAGTATTACTGCAGAGGGTAATTAATGACTAACAGGTGCATAAAATGTTAATAGATTAAAGATTAAAATCCAACTAAATCTATTATTTTAGTTGAATGTTAAATTTTAAAATCATACAAATTTAAATTTTAAAATCAAAAAAAATGAAATAAGTATGATTTTGAAATGTTTAAAAAAACAATGTATATTTTACATAATTATTAAATTTTAAATCAAATTTTTCAGATATCTGTGTATCGATTTTTTATTGATTAAATTTTTAAACAACTTTAAGCTTCGCATTTGTTTTGTTTTGATAAATAGCGTAAAGATTTTGCCCCCCATAATGGCCGATTTTTGCTTCACTTTTTCTTATATTAATAATAGTATTGGTTACCTGGAAGTGATCTTTTTCAAATCAAGTCTCATCGTCTTTTAAAATATACAATTTTTTTATCACTAGTTTAAACAAATTAGTTCATTCAATTGCCTTCATTTCTCCATCAATTTTTTTTAAATTAAGTTTTAAGATTTTCCTTTTTCAATTCTTTGAATATAAGATTTTAACTCTTTGAATATAAGATTTTAAACTTTGAAACCTTTAAACTATGAAGCTAAATCTTGTTGCAACTGAGTTGAATTTCTGTGAATTGAGTCAACTATTGTTTTTGCCCTCTTTTTGTCATTATTTTTTGATTTTCCACCTCTTACCTGTTTTCTGTTTATACGGCAGTTAGACATCTAGTTATTCTTAATATATCATTGATAAAGGCTGCGGAAAAACGCCATTTTAAAATTTGTTTTAAAACTTTAAGGTGGTCCTATACTAAAAAAAATCAAAAAAATCGATTTTTCAAAAATGTCATATTCTTGAAGCCCAAACACTCTTTATTCCAAATATATATAGATCATCATAGTGAGTAAATTTAAAAATGCTCTAAAATAGCAAGTTTCTTAGTGAAGTTAAATAATTTTCTTAGCAACGGCCTTAGCAACGGGTTGTTTATATTATAAAATAGGTGTTTTAGAGTGTTGCGCCATTTACTATAAGTTTTTGACACTGGTGCCAGTAACTGTTTCATGTTTATTTTTCTAAATAAGCCATGACCTTTAAGTACAATTACTATGTTTACATATATTACTTATAGAAAAACTATCAGCCTCGTGTTAAACTTTATTTGCTCTGTGCTTGTTTTTAATATGGGAAAAATTAAATGTGATTCAAGTTTAAGAAAGAAAGCAGGTGGTAACAGGATTTTCAAAAAAAAATACTTTAAAGGAAATCAATTTTCCTCAGCATCAACAATTAACATTAATTTAACTTCTCAATCGGAAATCACTAACTTAACTCAATCAAAAATCTTGACATCAACATCTTCAAAAAAGTCATTCTGGTTTGGAAAAATTTTGTGGTTTCATAAACTTACCTCCTCCAATGAACATAAAAGCATTTAATGATGTTCAAGATAAAATTCAAATCATATATTAAATTGTAGCTGATGTGAAAATGAAAAATGCAGCAAATGAACTTTGATTTCTTAACAATGATATCCAACCAAATGATTTTGATATTAATGTAATAGCTGATGTTGTTGTTTCCTGTAATGGAACTTGGCAAAAAAGGGGTCATTCCTCACTTAATGGTGTTGTTACTGTAATTGCTAGTGACTCAGAGAAATGTGTTGACTAATGAGTTATTTCAAAAATATGCAATGCCTGTACATCATGGGAATCAAAAAAAGATAGTGATCCAAAACTTTATGAAAATTTTTTGGAAACCCATGATTGCTTAAATAATCACGAAGGTTCTGTTAAATCTATGGAAGTTTCTGGAATTGTAGATTGTTTTATGAAATCTATAGTCAAAAGGTATATTAAACATATTTGAGTATTTAAATGTTACACCAGGTACATTTGCCTCAGTACTAAACCAAAATAGACCAAGAAAGAATAAAGATGATGGAAAAAAAGTTGCTTAACACAATAAAACAAAAAAGAAAGCTGCTTCGTGCAGAGCGAAAAGGTTTTACAGATATAGTAAATGAAAGTGAAAGTGTATCTTATGAAGCAGGAGTTTTTTAGATAATAGTTTTTTGTTACTTTTTTAATTAAATTTATGTTAAGGCAGTTATTGTATTTTTTAACGTAGTTATTGTTTGTTATCTTTTTATATTCAAGCTTTTTTTCATTGATTGAATAATTCTATTTTGGTTAAATTTTTTTCAATTATTAGAATTTTCACATTTTTCTTTTTTCTGTGTTTTTAGTAATGCTCAAGTCGTTTTGTTTTCAATAATTTTTTGACCTTTTTATATATTAATTTTTTTTTTTTATATTAAAAATCTTTATTATTGTTTTTCTCAAGATATGAGTTTTTTGCACGCTGCGATAAATATCTTGAGATTGGTTTGTTTGATTGTGTTGAATTTTTCAGGAGTTGTTTATTATATATATGCACATTCACCTTACCAAAAGAATTAATGTTAGTTAACTGGTTCTAAAAATAAGGTCTAGGTTCTAAGCCTTTTCGGGGCTTTTTTTAGGCCTTAAACTGGTTTTCTTACAAAAGCTTCAATAGTTTGTTAAAATGTTTGATTTTGGCAGGGTGAGTGTAATCATCTGATATTAAAAAGCTGTGAAAATTTCATGATCATACCATTATTAGTTTACAGGCTGCTTATCGCAGCGCGTAGTCCATATTTAAGGTCCATGGACCCAAAATTTTGACCAAAAAAAAATTTTTTTAATTTTTTTTTTCTTTACTGTGCTTTAAATTCAAAATACTATTTCTTATATGAAAATCATAAAATATGAATGCATTTTTAAAATTTTGGTTTTATTAGTATAGGACCACCTTAAACTACTTTAAAGTTTTTTTTTAATCTTTATTTTATATAATTCTTGCTTATTATATCCCCACATAAAGTGCTTACTTACAATTTTTTAATAAATGATGACACAAACTTTCAATAAAACTTTTTTATTTATTATAAATAAACAATTTGTTTATGTAATATATATTACAAATTAGTTTTTCTAGCTTTAGTTGCTGGAAATTTCTTTGCAACAACTAAAAATGAATTATATAAAATAAATTAAGATTTTAGTTGCTGCAAATTTCTTCGCAGCAACTAAAATTTTAATTTATTTTACATAATTCTCGCTTATTTTATCATCAACCGAGCCTCTTTTGCGCCCCTTTCAGGTTGGCGCCCATGGCACATGCCCTGCCTGCCCTACCCTAGATACGCCACTGAATTCGAGTTCTCTTTTTATTTATAAACAAAAATATGTTTGTAATTAAAGCTGATTAAAACAATGTTACATAACAAAACACGGATTCTTTTTAATTATTGCTAATGATATTAAAATTGCATTTAGGCATTACAACTTTTTGCAAGCAAAAATTTTGCCAAAAATAAAAAATGAAATTTTAAACCAAAAAAACTTGAATTAATTATTATCCGTTATTATAAAATGTCCTTAAGATAACTTGTAAATAGCTTTTTACAAATTTCAAGTAAAATACTATATTAAAGTTATGAATAATTTTTAAATAAAAACACTTTTAAATAAAATACAATAAAAAAGCACATTTTGCTGGGCGACTAGCCATTTTTATTTTTAAAATACCTTATAATAATCTGCCTCAATTTTAAAAAGAAATTAAAAAGACACGTTAGTTTATTTAGACAAAGTTAGTTTTTTAAAGACTCGACGTCGTATTGATCAATACGACGTCGTATTGATCAACGTTACTTTATCAACGGTAAATCAAGGTGGAATTGACGTTGAAAGTTCCGACGATAAAAAATATAAATCTTGACACGACGTCGTTTGTTTGCTGGGAATTCTTATTATAATCGGTAAATAATTTTTATCATTATAAAAAAATAGTTCTTCCATATACTAGATAATAAATCGTTATTTTGTTTTTGTTTTCATCTTATTTTTTATATAACTATTTTTTATTTTTTTATTTTTGTAGTTTTTAGGTATCTTATTTTTTTATTGTGCGCTAAACTTCATTAAATAAATTCTACCGGATATTCGATATTATTAACCGGCATTTTATACATAACTTTCCTGTTTCTAGAAAGTAGACCTCAGATATTATTAAATAGTCTGAAATTTTAGTAATTTATAATTATAGGGATAATATAAAATTTTACGTTACCATTTCGTTCAGTATTCAAAAAACACTACTGTCTAAAATATTCATTAAGTTATTTAAAATCACCCGGTAGTATGGAATGCTTAATTGGCATATCATTAAAATATTCGTATTTATTGGTTGTGCATCTATCTTATCAATATTTTTGATAATTTACGACTTTATATTTTCTGAGGTATTTTAATCTAGTTGATTTTTAATATGGTTTTTTATATAGGAAGTAAAAAATCTAGATGTGCCTGTACAAACAAATATAAACACAGCTGTGCTTATGCTGCGATAGGTATCAAATATTAAAGAGTTTCTTTTTAACAAGCATCTAAATAAAATAATTAACTTTTCCGTAACTTGAGTTATTTTAAGTTTACCGAATGACCATTTAATAAAAGTAATGTTATTATGCCCATAATTGATACCCATATTTGATACCAATGTTGATTAATTGTAATCTAGTCCCCTGTTTAACAAGCTGTTAAAATTTCTAAAATAAATTTCTGCATAACAGCTTGGTAGGAAAAAACTTGATAATAAAATTTTATAACAAATATTTGAGGCCAGTTATTCGTATCTTTTTTCATAAGAATATAATTTTCAACAAAAAGTTTTTTTTTAATAATTTAAGTTGCAGCTAAAGATTTACAAAAAAAATTTGTTGTTATTAACTTAACCATTCTGTTGTAGCACCATGCTATGTTTAGTCCTGAATTGTTAGTTTCACTAATACTTCAGAGTAATTTTTAATGTAAATAATTATTGCTTTTGTAGGACTTCCCTTGGAGTTGTTTTAAACATTCTCCTTGCTATTTTGGATTACTTATACCTGCATCTAGTATTGTAGCATTTGTTTGTACCTTCTTTAATTGGTTAGGATTAAAGTTTTTTATACATAATTGAAAGTAAGTTGTTTATCTTTTTCATTTTAATTCTTAAATGCAAATTGGACTGAATCATAAGTTTAAAATGAATATGAATTAAAATTTTCTAACAAAAATTTCAAACTTTTTCAACTTGAATTTTTTAAAAAAACTTTCAATTATCTTAAAACTGAATTAGCATATAGTTATTGTAAAAGTATAAAACTGCATCAGCAAACTAAAAATATAGAATTAGAAAATTTGATTCTAAACCAGCAATTAACAGCCATCTTTATAAATGCTTTTTATGTTTTTTTGCTTGGAAAACTATCTGAGACATCAATATGTCAATTAATGGAACCGTTTATCCTAGAAAAATAACTGATCTTAAATGTTGATAATAACAAAAGTAATTGCTTGTTATATTTATTTATCTAACTTTTACTCTTTATGCTTTGAACTTATTTATAGGAGTAACAAACCTTTTATCAATTTTTTAAGTAAATTGCAAATAACTAATTGTCCCTAAGATTAGATAAATTAGTAGGTTTAAGAGTTGCTAATGTGCTATAGTTTTCCACTACTAGAAATATCTTTTATTGATAATATATATACTAATATTATTCGTAATAATTTTTATTTATTATTTTTAATAGTAATATAATTTAATAACTAAGTTTTTGCATTTAAATTGTCTTGTTTAGGGCAAGTTAAAAATGTATGCACATTTAGAATATTGTTCTTATTTGTTATAACTTTTAATACTTTTATATTGTTTAAAAATTTTTTTATAGTTGTGAAGTTTATTAATTTTGTGTCGTATTTTACTAGATGATAAAAATCAATTATAAAAAAAAAATGATTCAGAAAAAAGTTACTAAAAAATAATTACTATCTAACAGTTAAAAAATGTCCCAAGGTTAAAAAAATATCTTTTTTTTACCAATATGTAAATTAATAAATTACATTATTAATTTTATAAAATTTAAAATTTAAAGAAAATTTATTATCCTAATAAGTTTTCATTAAATTGATTAAAAAGATTATATGATGGTTTATTTATTCTATATTATTAGTTAAAATTATTAATACTAATGATAATGAAATTAAATCTATCCAAAAACATTTATACCAAAGCATGTAATTAAAAACAAAGATATGATTGTTATTTGTATTTGTCATAAATATTAAAAAGCTAAATAGACAACAACACAATATAGTTAAAATTGATGTCAAATCTTTCATAAATTGTAACAACACCAATAGAATGTTTTTATTATTATTGAGTGGGTCAAGTAAAGATTGAAAAACATTATTAAATGATAAATTGAAGACTAATTAATTAAAGTATAAATATTTATTAATTATATGTTATTTTTTGTTGTATGCTCTCTTTTGATCGTGAAAATCTTGTATTATGTTTTTTTTAATTTTATTTTCAGTAACAAATTTATCATGAGTGGTCTTATACCTGAAATTAATATACATAAGTTAGAAAGAGTCAAATTAAATGACCCTGATGATGAAAAATGCCAGACATTTGTTTTCCATAACGAGGATCACACAATTGGCAACTCACTTCGATATATGATCATGAAAAACCCTGAAGTTCAATATTGTGGTTATAGCAATCCCCATCCATCAGAGCCTAAAATTAATCTAAGAATACAAACACATAAAATTGCAGCCCCAGATGCATTGCAAAAAGGACTTCTTGATTTGCAAAATGTGTGTGATCATGTATTAGCTACATTTCAAAAATCTGTTCAAGAATTTAAAGATAGAGCATCTGAAAAGATGAAAACTGACTCTGAAGATGACTGCAGTGACAGTGGTTAACAAGATGTTTTTATATTCCTTATGTTTATAGAAAAAAAAATTTAGTCTCAAATGTTTTAATTTTTTTTTAGTTTGATATTAATTAAGTTGACTATGTTTTTAAGCTTTTTAAAATTTTATCTTACAGAATTATATTTTATATTTTTGAAAATATTTAAATTTCATATTTAGTTTTGTTATGTCATAAAACAGGGATGTCCAACCTTTTTGCAATAATGGCCGTTTTTTTGTTGCTTTTTTTGTTTTGTTACTTCTTTATAGGCTTCTTTAAGTTCTTTATTATTCTGTAATTCTATGGATTTCATTTGAAGTTTATTTCTAACAATTTCAGCTTTAATTTGAAATGGGTTTGTAATTAAATCCAACTCATTTTTTTCTTTTTAAAATCACTGAACTTTGTGTCAAATTCATCAGTTAAAATACTTTAAAATGAGATGACAATATCTTTCAAAGTCAAGAGTGAGAAATGTTTTTTTTCTGATATTGTCTTGAAATGGACAAGTGTTTTTAAACTTAATTATTGTTTCAGAAATTTTAATTTTAAAGCAAATGTTTCTTAATTTTAAAACATTTTACTTTTAACACATTTAATTCTTTAACTTTCATTGCAAAAATATTTAAGTTTTTACCTTGCAACTTGACATTTAATTCCATTCAGCCAGTCAATATTTTCAAACAAACTTGTGTCTTTCCATTTATCTTTTAGAAACTGAACTATTTCAAGTCCAAAATATTAACATCTAAAATCTTTTTAGAGTTGCAGCTCAACTAAACCACCTAACTTGACAGAAATAAGTTGTATCTTCAGCAATTGTCTGGATTAAGGCTCTAACCTTTTAAAAGTTAACAGTTTAATTTATCTCTAATACATTTACTTTATCTCTAATACATTTACTCATAACTTTTCTGATGTATAAAGCAGTAATACAAAAGAATATAAAGGAGTTTTTGAAAATATTTTTTCCTGTTTGTGCACTTGCTTTATCTGTAGTGACACCACAGAATTTTATTTCTGGTAACTCAAAATTCAGTAGTTTTTTTTTTACTTCAATGAGAATATCTTCTCCTTTAGTAATGCCCTTTATTTGATAAACATATAACATGGCAGATCTAATATATAACAGTTCTTCAATTACTTCAAAATCCTTGGTTACACCTCTAACATAGCTGGCTGAGTAGTAGTGATGTAAATTTTCCAGTAAAATTTGATTCAAAATTTACCGGTAAAATTTACCGGTAAATTTTAATTAGAGAACAGTAAATTTTCCTTTAAAAAATCAAAAAAAAAAAAAGAAAAAAAAAATAAGTGAAAAAAATTTTCAAAATTTACCAGGCGGTAAATTTTCTGGTAAATTTTCCGGTAAATTTTACCTTCGCAACACTACTGAGTAGTACCACCTATATCTATTGGTTCATTCAGTGCCAGACTACATGGTTCACAATTATTTAATTTTTCTTTCAATGATAGTTCAATATTCTTTCCTAGATCTTTAATTCTTCAAAAATAGTCTGGTGTGAAAAACTAAGAGCTTTAACAAAGTTTGTTTTTAGTGGTTAGAGCACTTGCTTTATAAGCAGGAGATCCAGGTTTGAAACGAACTCTGGACATATTTATGCGTCATGGTAAGGAAGGAAGCTGGAACTTCCTAATTAAATGCACTTCCTCCCTCTGTGACAAGACTAATAGGTCTTCTTGGGGCACCTAAATAAGAGATTGTCCATAAAGTACGTACGCTTGGAGGGGAAGAGGGATATGAGATGGGAGGGCACGTCAATTATAATAGAAAGGAGACACTAAATTTAAAAAAAATATAAAATTTAACAAAATTAAAAAAACAAGACATATCTTGTTACAAAACTGACATGCGCATTTTTTTCTACCAAATTTCCTGTAGAAAAAGGTTCACCACTCTTTACAATAATTTCTTTTATAAAAAAATTTGTTTTGGTAGCACTGTATGAATTAAATACTTTACTTTTCATCACTGATTGTCACTTAAGAACATTTTACTTTAACAATTCCTTTTTGTCAATATAAAATTGGCTTTTAAATTTGTCACTCATGTTTTCTAGTATTGTATTTATTCACATTGTAACTTTTGCACATAAAAATTTTCTCCGGACAAATGAGGCATAATAAAATTATTTTACTTGAGTACAAAATATTTGATGTTCCAGAAAGAATTAAATACATGACTTTGGTACAATTATCATATTATGTCTTTTAACTGTATACATTTAAAAAAGTTTTAAATATGGCTGCTTGTTAAAATATATTTAATATGCTTTATATTGCACACTTTATTATATCCAAATGCAGATTTTTTATTCGAATCAAAGTATATTGATAACAGGTGTATACACAAGTTATATATAGTTAAAAATTATATATATTTAAAAAAAAATTCAATAACTTTGAAATATTAGGAAGTGATGTGTAGGCCATATCTGAGGACATTGAGGGCCACTTGGTGGCCTGCAGGGCATAAGTTGGACAACTCTGTCATAAAATACCCAGCTAGTCAGTTATAATTTATTATAATAAAAACCATTCAGGTGAAAAAAAAGTTTATTTGGGTGAAAATGTCTTGAGTACTAAATTATTAGAATTAAAGAATCAAAGGATAGAAGTGTTTTAAAATGGTTCATTTAATTATTTTTTAATAAGATTGAATTTTTGTTGTTATTTGTTGAAACAAAATCAGATCCAATTAAAATGTTTAAAAGATGAAACATTTAAAATCTGTTTTATTTAAAGAGATAACTATAGAAATAGTTTCCAAATTCATTTTTTAAAATTGTTTTTGGAGAAACCCAAGTTTTTCTTTTATTTGCAGAAATGGTTAAATGATTTATTAAATGTTTGTAAATATATTTTTAACACAAGCAGATTTAATTAAAGAAGCTAAAGTACGTATATTTAGAAGTTTAATTATTTATAAAATATCACTTGGTTGAAATATCACTTGGTAGAAGTTAATTGTTTATTTATAAAGTATGATTGGTTGAAATTTGGATGATTTTAAATTGCATTTTCTCAAAAACTACTTAATTTTGACAAATTTTTAAAAATGATGTTAAGTTGTATGATATTTAGTTTTTATTTCAGCAAAAAAAACAATTGTCTTAATTTTAAGGTTTGCAAGTAATTTAATTTTTTGTGAAGTACCCTTCATCAATTTTGATTTTGTTTCACTTTTTTTTGCAGCATTAATCCATAAATCTTGGAGTTTTTTAACACTATTTGCCTCTTTTCCTCAGTACGGTATATTAGCATCCTTTGTAGCTACATTGACTCTATTTTTTTAGCAATCCATAATTTTTTTTTAATTATTACCTTTATATTGGTTAAATCTGGCATCTATTTAGGATTCCAAATTTAGCTAAAATAAAGTTAGTCATTTTTGTTTTTTAATTAGAAGGAGAAGTGGTTTTCCAACCATTCATTCACTTAAAGATTCAATGTCAAATCTAATTTATTAATAATAGTATTGGTTACCTGGAAGTGATCTTTTTCAAATCAAGTCTCATCGTCTTTTAAAATATACAATTTTTTTATCACTAGTTTAAACAAATTAGTTCATTCAATTGCCTTCATTTCTCCATCAATTTTTTTTTTAATTAAGTTTTAAGATTTTCCTTTTTCAATTCTTTGAATATAAGATTTTAACTCTTTGAATATAAGATTTTAAACTTTGAAACCTTTAAACTATGAAGCAAAATCTTGTTGCAACTGAGTTGAATTTCTGTGAATTGAGTCAACTATTGTTTTTGCCTTCTTTTTGTCATTATTTTTTGATTTTCCACCTCTTACCTGTTTTCTGTTTATAGTTTCGTTCTCCTTACAACGTTTTATGAGTTCATTTTGGAACTTTACACGCATTTATAATTGTTAAATATGAGCGCAAATTTCAAATTTTTTTATTGATTTTTAGACTTTTTACTCAATATCGCTAACTAATCAGATGTAAGCAAGACTACACTCACAGACATAAAACTACATCATTGAAAAAGAAATTATTAAAATCAACTAAGTAGTGTTTGAGAAAACTCAATTTATACTCAAGTGATAAATTATAAATTTAAATTCAATAAATAAATTAGTAATTTGATTTTAATTCCTAAGAAGCTTTGCTTTTTTTTTTTTTTTTTTTTTTTTTTTTTTTTTTTTTTTTTTTTTTGCAATTTGTAAGTAATTATTTTTCACTGATCACTTTTATGCTTTATATCAAATGCTGATTTTTATATATAATGTGTATATATAATATATATATATATATATATATATATATATATATATATATATATATATGTATGTATATATATATATATATATATATATATATATATATATATATATATATATATATATATATATAATATATAATATATATATATGTATGTATATATATATATATATATAAAATATATATATATATATATATATATGTATATATATATATATATGTATATATATATATATATATATATGTATATATATATATATATATATATATATATATATATATATATATATATATATATATATATATAAATGTAATTAACCTCCCCAAGGTCGAATTGGTCACTATCAAGGAACTTCCTTGACTATAGTGACCATTTTGACCTTGGGGAGGTTAATTACATTTAGCTTCCTGGAAGCTCCTTTTTTTACAAAAAATTGTGGATGCAACTCCCAATAAAAAAGTGCGATACAACTTAGGACATGGAGATCAAGCTCAGAATGATGATGATGATGACAAATAATGATAATGATGATTAATGATGGTAATGAGGAAGATGATGATGATGATGATGATGATGATGATGATAATGATGATGATGATGATGATGATGATGATGATGATGATGATGATGATGATGATGATGATGATGATGATGATGATGATAAGGACTAATTTATTTTAATACAAATTATATTAAGGAATAAAAAGTTAATAAAAAAGAGTTAAAACTTGTATGACATCTTAAGCATGACGGAACACTACAAGGGATGGAATCAAAGATTATTAGAGTTTAATGGTCAGAAAGCTGACAAAGTGTTATGGAAAGATGCAAATTTGTGTAAGTATTACACAATATTGTTATGCTATTGTATTTGAATTGGTTATAAATTTGTCTATTCACAAAAAGAAATACTTATTGAACCTTTAAATATTTATTGATTTGTTTATAAAATTATTTATTGTTAATAAATTAGGTAAATTATTTTAAATATAAATCGATCTATTTAACATGATTTATGCCATGACATTTTGCAGTACTGGTAGTACTAGAAAGAAGTAGATCATCACAGTGTTGTCAATTCGCTAGGTCAATACTCTTCAATTCCTGTAAATTTTGGGGTACCATAAGGTTGTATCCTTGGTCTTGTATTGTTTTTTATCTTCATCAATGATCTTCCTGACAATCAAACATCTAAAGTGACTCTACATGCGGACAACTCAACTTTACACTTCTGTTTTGAAAAAAAGTCTTCTCTTTTCAATTGCTTAGAACAGGCAGCCCATCTTGAATCTCTCTTTTTTAACAGCTTGGGGTTAACAGTGGCTTGTGAGTATTTACTCCAACAAAACTTAGTTATAAATAAACTTTTAATATTGTCAACATTACTATATTAATGAATGGAAACTCTCTCACAAAGTCTACTTCTTTATTGGATTATCATTAAATACTGACCTCTCATGAAAACCATATATACAATTGATTACAAAGTTAACATCTGCTATGGTTGCTTCTTTTATCATGCTTGCCATTTTCTTACTCCTGATTCCATTCTTTACCTCTATAAATCTCTTACTTTTCCCTGTATGGATATTCTTTTTATATTTGGGCTGGTTCTTTTAATGATGGTCTTTCTCTTCTAACCAAGGTCCAAAAAGACATTTTATCCAAAAAGACAATGGCATCCTTTTACTATATCTGTCCTTTCATGCTCTAAAAACTTTTATTCATCTTTTTTTTTTCATGCACTTCAATGCTCTGTAACTCTTACCCATATTCATGTTTTCTTGACTTATTTTTCTTAACCTTCAACTTTTCGGCTTTGCTGTCAACTGTTTTCTCGCTCTTTAACTCAACTATTTGTTTTCTAGTAACTCCTAACTTGCTTTTAGCTTTATTATGAGCCAATTAGATTAAAAATAACACTGAAAATAATTGTGAAGCACAACAGAATCAGGTCATTATATTTCAATTAAGTGAAAGAAAAATTTGTGGGGCATCATCTCTGATTTTTCATATTTTTACATGGTATTATTATTTCAATTATCTAAGGGTATTTATATAAGATGAGCCATTTTTTTTGGAAAATTTCCGAGTGACTATCTTAGATTTTTTTGAAATTTACACCTTTAGGTTTTATGGAAAAAAGAATTTCCCAAAAATTTCAACTCATTATCTTGAAATATTCTAAAATTATGGCAGCACAAAAAATTAATGTCTTTTTATTGCCTTTTTTTAAAAAAGCCTTATTTTTATATCCTTATAAATAAAAAACTAATTATCTTAAATATGTTAAATTCAATATCATGGCAGTAATCTTCCTCAACTTTCAAAAAAATAAAGATTTATTTTACAAAAATAATTATTTTTGATCATTTTGGACTTTAAAGTAATGTTTGGTCATTTTGGACAAAAAATTATTAAAGAAAATAAAAGCAGAATACACAAGGAAAGGAGCTGTAAATTAACTGGGTGTCCAGTAAATATGAAGCTTCAATATAAGAAGAAGAAATACAGAAAAAAAAAAAAATCTTGGGATGTCTTGCAGCTGCTGAGATATCTGAATTCAAACTTTCTATTAAAATAGGATTTTGGAATTTGAATTTTAGAATTTGTTAAATAGTTAATATCTTTAAAATGAACATTTTAAAGTTGAAAATTTTGTTTATTTATTTTTTTAAAAATAAGGAATTTAAAACTGAATTTTTAAATAAAGATATAAATAAAGGCTTATATTTTTCCAACATGATTAAATTTGAAGCTCAAACATAGGCAAGATATAAATCTTAATTACAATAAAAGGAACGTTAAAAAAAATAAGATTCTTGTTCTCAAAATAATAGTCTAAATGTTTTTGTTTAACATTTCAAAATTGCTCAGATATTTATTAGCTTTATGCCGATTGACATTGTGCAACCAGAGTATTTACTTTTGCTAAAATATTTACAACAGGAACCCAACGTTTATACATAAATATCTGAATCATCTGCAATTTTTTGTACAACTCCAATGTACAAAAAAGCAATGACCAAAAAAAAAAACTAAATAGTTTTAAAATCTTAGAAAAAAGATTTTTTGTAAGATTTTCAACTATTACTTACTAAATGCTTTAGTTTTATGAACATTGTATGTTTTATGAACATTGTATGTTTTATGAACGTGTTAAGTTTACTGCACACTTAATCAATTTTCATTTTTTAAAAGGACCTAATTTCAACATTTTAAGGCTGGAGGCTTTTTTAGAGGGATCTAACTTCTTTAATTTTCAATCCAATGTCACAAAACTTCAGGAATGATGATTACCACATATATTCTCACAAAACATAATTTTTACATTTCCTTGTGTATTCCGCTTTTATTTGCTTTACTAATATATATATATTTTTTAGTCTTTTTGTAACTTGAAAGTCCAAAATGGCCAAAAATAATTTTTTTTGTAAAATAAATTTTTATCTTATGAAAATTGAGGTAGATTACTGCTATTCTATTAATCTTTAAGTATTTAAGATAATTAGTTTTTATTTATACGGATAATGAGTGAAATTTTTAAAGAATTTTTTTTTTCCCATAAAATCTATAAGTGGTGTAAATTTCAAGAAAATTTATATGGAATGGTTGTTAATAAAATTATATTTGCAATTATAGCCTTATCAACACTATTGCAGTGCTTTTTTTACCCATTCCCCAAATTATATATCATAAAATCTTCATGGACCCTTTTGCTTTTAATAATTATTACTAGGTAAAAATTTTAATAATCTAATTTTTACTCTTCACACAAATGTGATGTTGAAAATGGGAATAAAGGCTTTAAGTGCAATTGATGAACACAATGGATATGAATTTCTCATTTTCAACCAGAAGTTATCTAATGATGTTATTTTGAAGTGATCCTTAGCCGTCGTATCATCCTTTAACTCTACAATTTTTCTTGTGCTTCCTCTTTTTCATATTTTTCACATCTCAAGAAAATGGTGGTATAATAATTTTACTGTTGAAAAGGTTCTCATCTAGAAAATAGCTACCCAACTCATTAATCAAATTATTGAGGTGACAAACTATTTTTATAATTTCGGGAAGCATGTTGTTACCAATTACGCTATTTAAATTTTGAAACATGATCAAATTTCCATTGTTAATTCTAGTCTTATACAGTTTGAGCTTTTTAATAAATTCCTTCAGTATTTCCGAGTGTGTAATAACATTAGCATTTTTGCCACAATATGACCCACAATGTCCTATGTCCAAAATTGTCAAATTTTGGACACAAAATTTAGTTCACTTCACTTCTAAGCTTGAAAAATCTTTCCAAAAAATTTCCAGCATATAGCTTTCACACAGAGGTATAAACAATAGCTTTTTATGTTTAGCATCTAGGTCAGAGCAAAATTTTATGAAAAAATAAATGTTAAGAGCAGAAGATTTATATGACCAACTTGACTAATTGATTAAATACAGCTTTCAAATTACCTGGTAGTGTTTTGGTTTCCAAAGCCTTTCTATGAATAAAACAGAGTACACTAACTGCATTTGAAGCAATCTCTTTCACTTTAGTCTACAACCAATCATGACAGAAGCTCCATCATTAGTATTTCCAAACAAATATATTTATTGTAACGGTTTGTCATTGAAAAACTGTTTAATTTTATATTTATATATTAAATTATTATATAACATGATAAAATTTCCATAATATCATGTTATATATGTTATATATCATGTGGTAGTGGTGTAGTGGTAAGAGCACTCGCTTTGTAAGCGAGAGGTTTGGAGTTCGACTCCCACCATGTCCTCCGCGCAGCGGCCTTGCTTGTCAAGGTTCGCGTTTCGGAGTTAAAGAGTTGAGAGAGGGTTGTACCACAATTTACAAAAAAAAAAAAAAAAAAAAAATGAGTAGCCTCCTCGACTGTAGTGGCCCCCTCGGGCCTTAAGGAGGTGAATAATTAAAAAAAAGAAAAAAAAAGATTATATCATAACATCATGTTTCAATGATAGAAGAGAACAAAAGTTTTTCCTTGAATTTTTAATTGCAAATATACCTACAAAATACAATTAATTGTGCAATTGAACTTACTCATCTAACTGAATAGAAAAATATGGCGATTCTTTAGTTTCATGATTTTGTAGATTTGTGGTCCTCTTAAAACGTTCTCATGGACCCCCAGGGGTCAATGGACCACTGGTTGGGAACCACTGCACTATTGCTTGGTAAAAATAGACATTTTAAAGACTACTTCTTTATAACTTTTAACAAGTGTCTCATTTTTTTTAAAAACTTATAACAGATAGCTCTGTCTGAAAAATGGTTTCTATCAACTTCTATTTTGTTAAAAAAAAGTTACCCCCTCTTTAACTTTAATGAAAAAAATGAAACATGTTATTGTGGTCAAAGATAGTTTTCTGATCAAACAACCACTTTCTTGCACTCATTTGTGTCTAGAATTGTACTCAGCATGTTCAATTATGTCATAGTGTTTCTTCAAATTTTTCAGCATTAAAGTGAACTACTGTGAACTTTTTACTTTGTGATTTATTATTTAAATAGAACTTGTAAATCTGCTTTCTTATCTTTTCTCTCTTAGGCACCATTTTTTCCTTACTTTTTATTAATTATCTAAAAATAAGTGAAAAAAAAAAAAGTTTAGCTTGTGGCATTTAAAAGTCAGGTGAAGTCAGTCCAAATTTTTTTGTACCTACACACACACACACACACACACACACACACACACACACACACACACACACACACACACACACACACACACACACACACACACACACACACACACACATACACACACACACACACACACACATACACACACACACACACACACACATACACACACACACACACACACACATACACACACACACACACATATATATAAATGTATATATATATATATATATATATATATATATATATATATATATATATATATATATATATATATATATATATATATATATGTATATGTATATATATGTATATATATGTATATATATATATATATATATATATATATATATATATATATATATATATGTATATATATATATATATATATATATATATATATATATATATATATATATATATATATTACTTGTTTACCAAGTCAAGACATTTTTGGTTAGTTTACAATATAAGTACTTGTTTTTTATCTTTAAATTGTCAAAGCTGTTTTTTTGTTTTAGGTAAATGGGAACCTTTTTACAAAGATTTATCTAATTTATTAAATTCTCTTCGTAAACAGTCACTTGAAATTCAATCAGCTATTATTTCTAGAGTTTTATATAAACACCAAAATCAAATGCGACGAGATATTCCTTTTCAATACTTTAAAAAAGTAATAATTTTTTTTTAAATTTATTTTCTTAATTTGTTTTTAAGTTTTCTCTAATTGTTTTTATACAAAAGAATGTTTCTCATAAAATTGATCAAGTATTAAACCTCCTGCTGATATTGTTGCTTTTGGTCAGTTAAATGCTAATCGCATTAAAATGAGTTGACTCAGTACCAGAAAACCATTGATAAAAACCTGGTTTTTGCAGTCTATCAAGCAGATCTTCTAGATTTGTGTTTTACCTCCATGACCCAAACTTTTGTTCAACCTTTTTTATCTCTGTTAAAACTTTTATCTGTTTATACTTTTATTTATAAACCATTTTGAGGTAGCCCTTATTACCTTAAATTGTATGTTATTTTTAAGTTAGCTATGATTCTTTCTGTGATTTTCTTAGTAATAGTCCTTGGTTTAATATGTTTGACAATCTAGTGGTATAAAATATTAGTGTTGTTCAACTTGTTTAAAACTGTTCAACTTATTTAAAAGCCATCTTGGTTTTTAATGTTTTTCTTACTTATAAACAATCTTATTACAAAAATTGTTTGCTATATATATTATTAAAAATATAACTTGTGACTCTTCTCAATAATTAGCAAAACTAATTAATGACACAAATTAAAATTGCAACATCTCCTACAACTCAACAAAAGCTCATATATAATCTTGATTTTGGTTCGGAAGTACCCTCCTCCCATACCGAGTGAGTCAAGCAGGCTGTAACTCTTTCTCAATATTGTTTTAAGTTCGTTTCAGGAGATTTATATAGTATCAAATCATAATCGTCATCAGCTGTTAAATCTTTTTCTTTTTTGTCTACATGACAATCAGGCTTGTGCAGCCGAGCCGGACCCATGGAGCCAGGGAACCGCTGTTTTTTGTTGGAGCTGTAGCCGCAAAAGTCAAGCGGCTCTTGGCTCGGGTTTTATTTTATATGAATAGAATGTTTTTTTTTTTGTTTAACGAATTTGTTGAATGAATTATTTATTGAATTTCTATTTTTTCTAAAAATTTTTTCTAACAATTACGGCTAAAACGTAATAAAAATGAATATTTTAACAATTTTGTGCTCAACAAAATACTATCCTTTAATAGTATTTCTTAATATGCTTTATTTAAAAAAAAGTAAATTATTTATGGAAACATTACAGTATTGCATAAGTTGCTTTATATTGTATTTTTATACTGATACTATGTTGTGAAATATTTGATGTGCGATTTATTGATCAAAGTTTAGACTTATCTTTTAAATTATACTAAAGCATGAGATTAAATTTGGAATGATGAATTTCATTTTTAAACTTGTCACTAACACATTACTAAATTATTTTTTTTGCGTAATTACATAAAATAATTACAGTATTAATTAAAAACATCAACAAATAAGTCAAAATATTTCTTTTAATTAAAATGTCATTAACGCATTTAGAAAAACAAAAAAAATTCTGCACAACTATCTACAAAATCCTTCTGTATCATTACTTTCAAAATTGTTTGCTAAATCATCTGAATCTAGCAAAACTACTATTTATATGGTCGTAAAACAATCCAAAAGCTCTCTATCTATCGAACAAGCAAAAGGATCTGGAAAAAAGAGTGGCTTTAAGGATAAGAAAGCAGCAATTAGTATTCGACGATCATTTACGTAAAATCCCGTCTTATCAAACAGAGAATGAGCCAAAAGGTATAAAGTTTCAGTTTTTTAAGATTAAATTTTGGCAAGCAATATGTAGCTGTGGTTTGAGATCTAGAGCTTTTGTCACATTGTCAACTTTAAACTCAGTTTACATCAAAGAATACTTGCAAGCTAGATTTTTGCAATTTTATCAGTCACAATGTCCCCTGTTGATTCTGGCCTAATCTTGCTTCTTAGCATTATTCTAAGAATTATGGTACAGTTGGAGAGACATCAAATTTACACCAAAATGCTTGAATCCATCAATCTGCACACAGTTCCATCCCATTCAAAAATTTCGGGGAATTGGCAAAGGATATTTGCGTAAGACTGGCAAAACAATAAATACAGCTAAAGATTTGATTAGAGAGTGGACATTAGTAGGAAAAAAAATTGCCAAAGACACTGTGCAGAAGTTGATATTGTCGATTAGCGTAAATGTTTTACCCAGTGGACACGGAACATACAAAAGAGGTCTTTTAAACGTCTTTGGAGCGTTTTGAACATCTTTTGAACGTTCAAAACATGTCTTTTTTAGGTCCCGCGCCCACTGGTATGTCCCAGTGGGTATGGGACTCAGCGAGGACATAAGAAATTTATTTTGAACATTTGTTATGCTTTTTGAACATTTGGATGTCTTTAGGATGTTCAAAAGACGTCTTTTTTAGGTACTGTGCCCCCTGGGTAGAATTAGAACTAAAGTTTAAAATAAAAACTCTAGTTTTTGGTAAATAATATATAGAAAAAAGTGTTAATTTACCCAAAACATTTTTCTTTTCAAATATAATATCCCGTAGTAGAGTAGTAATAGTAATACAATAACCTTGTAATCATGAGAGTTGGTAAAAAATTAATTGCTGTAATTGGTTTAGTTTTGGGTTAGCAAATGTGATCAAAAAATTTATTCCGAAACTTGCGATTTTTGTTCATAAAGTTTGGGAGCTGAGTCAGAGACATAAAAAAAACAATCGGCTCCACAAGACTGATGACAATGCTGCAGATAAGAGAAATGTCAAGGTAACATATGTCCCTTAACTTCAATTTCAGCCATTAAATCATTTTGCAGTGCTACTATACATCTTTTCAATTATCCCTGTGTGCACAGTGTCATTCTTGGGTTTCACCTAGACTTTAATGCAAATTTTCCATTCTTCAACCTCAGTTAAAAATTTTCCATCCTTCAACCTCAGTTAAAAATTTTTGTGCCAAATCCACTTTAATTCCAAGGAGTTTAAATTAGGGCTGTACCGGATTAAATTTTTCCAAATCCGGCCGGAGCCGGATTTGCCGGATTTTTACTAACAGATCCGGCCGGAATCGGAGCCGGAGCCGGATTTTGAAGCAAAACTACAGGAACCAAAATCCTGTATATCCCTACTTGGTGTTGAAAATGGTCAACAATGTTGACTATTTAGATCACCAAGTGACATTTCCCGACGGGCATTTCGTTTTAAAAGTTACGATCTAAATGTATTTTAAATGTCTTTTAAAGGCCTTTTAAACATTAATGTTTAAAAGACGTTTAAAAGACATTTAAAACACATTCAGAACGCAACTTTTTAAAACAAATGCCCGTCGGGTTGTTTTCTATTAAACATCATTTTTGTTGTTTAAAAGTTTTATAGCAATTTCTATAGAATTTAATAGACATTTTATATAAATTTTATAGAGTTTCTATAGGCCATATGTTTCAAAAATTTAGAGAAATTCTACAGAACTTTTTTTCCCGGGATGTTGTCACTCCGCCACTGTAGTGAATCAGCGTGTCTATATATTTCTGATTCTTCCAGATATTGGCTTAGCTGAGTGTCAATGCCTGTTGGTAATTGTTGTTCATGTGCTGTGCCACAAGCGGGCGTAGACTGAATTATTTCATCTATATATATTGCCATTGTAATGATGATATTGTATAAGAATTATCCAGCCGGGATTGTTTTGCTGGATTTTCTTTATTTTTTTCAATCTAAAAAGGTTTCTCCTCAATGCCTTTGCTCATCTAATGAGTTGATTAGGATTGACTTCATAGTCTTTACACCTGCATTATTGCAGAATATCGTGTGTCTTCTCTTCAGAATTTTTTGTTGCGTTCTTGTTTGAAATTAGGCTTAGCTAATTAAATTGTAAAAAAATGTAAATACAGATACCAAACAAACATGAAGTTCAAAAAATAAGTATTATGTATACATGTTATCACGGGTAAGAAAGATGAAATAAACATCCAGAAATCCGGCCAAAATTATGCCGGATTTGCTAACATTTTGCCGGAGCCGGATTTGGGCCGGATTTGTAAAAATGGCCGGATTTCGGCCGGAGCAGGAGCCGGAGCCGAAATTCGGTACAGCCCTAGTTTGAATGCATTTCTAATGTTAGCAAAAAATTTCAAAAGATATACTGTGTTTTGATGGAGCATTGTTGATCAAGAATACAGACATGGGTTTGATGGAGCATTGTTGATCAAGAATACAGACATTGTTGATCAAGAATACAGACATTTTTACTACCAGATGAACTCTTTCAACAATTCTATTTCCTAATGGTTTTTCAACAGCTGGATAGATAAGTTTTACTTACCATTTTGACACCATGGTTTTCATAATCTGAGATCTAAATGACTTGGAGTTATCTAGGAGAACTTCAGAAGGAGGTCCAAGTGATGACCATATTGTTTCTAACTATTGAACAACAATTATTGCACTTTCGTTGCTTAATGGTGTTCATATTGTGTATCTGCTTAAGCTACAATCAATACAGGTGAGGTATAGCAATTAATCAATATCGCAGACTACTCTTTCCCAAATTTACTAACACCAAGATTTCCTTTATCCCATGAAATCACATTAAGATCAATTAAATTACATTTATCACATTCAGCGACAACCTGTTTTACTGTGTTGCTGTTAACATGGATATCTGTACACCTACATAACTCCATACTATGAGAATCAGTTTTAATAGAGACATCACTCGGGTTCCATTTCAATACCATATTCAGATCTTCAATACCATATTCAGATCTTCAATCCAATTCAGCTACCTTGATATGCATTGCATCAAACTTTAGTCAGAACCATGTCACATCTTCTATTTTTTGGTCACCTTGCATTATCAGAACTTCTTTTCCCAATAAACTTGCATTACACTATACAATTACGAGCTTCGTCGGGAAGCGGGAGTGATCGCTCTCGATTACTGACCACGGAAATAATATTTAATTGCAAAAAACTGTCCAGATTTTTTTTTTGCTTTTTGAAATGTTCTCAAAGAACATTTCAAAAAGCAAAAAAAAAAAATGCGCTTAAGATTAATTGGACTGATGAGAGACAAATAC